ATTCATGGTTTCCATCCTCTTCCTATCATCCTGTCTTTTCTTATCTATCTCTGTCCTAGATGTGCTGAGCATTTCATTTATAAATGTTGGCATTTCTTTTTAACATGACAGATTATTTCTGATCTCATTTCCTCTATAGCCTCACGAATTTGTTTCTTTACTTGTCATCATTTCAGAAATTTCAGGTGTGTGTCTCTCATTTTTTCTATGTTGGTGACTCCTGGAATTGTTCTGGGTGGGCTGGAGGTCTGAGATTGCGGTTTGCTTCTTTTTGTCATTTTCTGGGTTCCCGCGATGGTAAAGAGGTGATGGGAGTGGTTGCCACCTCAGGTGCATTCACCTGGGTTCCAAAGTCTATAAAGTGTTATCTTAATTGCAAAGAGGAGCAGAGCAAAACACCATGAGTTCATCATATATGTTCTTGTCTGAAAGTTCTTTCTCTGATTCCCAGGTGCACTCATTTGTCTTAACAAGGTGAGTTTTCTGTGTAAAGAGAGACCCTCTGAGAAGTGTGGACAGTAGGTAGGTCTCCTGCTTCCCTTACCAGCAGGATCAGGCAAACCATACCTCTCTGGAACTAACTCAGTTTCCTTACTATAACATGGAACAGACTTTTAGTGCTATGCAAGGTAACATATGCGAGTTGCTTAAAATAGCTCTGAAGTGCAGTAATTATAAAAAGAAACATTGAAAAAAAAAGGGGCGGGGGTGCTGTGGATTTAGCTCAGCGGCATAAGCACCTGCCTTGCAAGCAGGCTGTCATGAGTTCAATGCCTGGTACCACTAAAAAAAAGAAAAAGAAAAGAAAAAAGCATTGGCTATTGTATCAGTAAGGGCAACAGTTCTCAAACTTTAAGGACAGTGGAGTTACTCACCTCCAAAGCTTTCGAGCAGGCCTTTGGGAGGGCTTGAGAACTTGTATTTCTTATCAGTTTTCTGGTGCTGCTGATCTGGGGACAACGTAAAGGACAATGAATTAGAATGCAAGTTGGTCATAAACAACAAAGGCCCCACAGAAATTCATTTTTGAAGTAGGGGGTCCAGGGCTTATGTGGTCCTCCTGGGAGTCAGGCTGTTCTTTGTCTTATCCCCTGATCCCCCTGCCAGGTGGCTGTCCTTGTGCACACACACACCATCAGAGTGGATCCTAGCCACTGGAGGGAGAAACTAGGAGAGGGTGAGGAGAATAGTTTGATGCTTTAGAGAGACTATGAAGAATTCATATACATCACATGTTCACATGGATGGAACTTAAATAAATCAAGTGACCAAGGGAAATAGGAGCCCATGCCAGATAAAGGACCCAGGGTCCCATTGTGTGTGTGCACTTCCATGAAGCAGAGAGAGACATTCATGGCATCTAGGAGCTCTGTGGCAGTGGCAGACTGGCACCTATGATTGAATTATGGCAAAGGTACTTTTGTGAGTAGCAGAATCCAAATATCAAACATCCAACTTCATCCCCCCCAAAAAATGATTCTGTCCTGCTTCAATTTATCCTTCCTGTGTTCAAAGGTGTCATTTGATTCAGAGAAAAGACTGGGGTTCCTTTGGCAAAGTAAAAATATTCTTCTTTCTTTTCTAATAATTTGAATTCTTATCAGGTTTCTCCCAGATGGATCATAAAGGGTACCAGCAAGCAATTGAGGACATAGAGCTTTGACAGAGATGGGCACAGTTAGGAAGGGGCCAGAGGCTTGCTAGCCAGGGTATCAGAAGGAGGGTAGACTCTAACATATATTCGTAGGTAGGAAAAATATATTCCAACAAGTACAGTGCTAGCATGCGGAATGTGCTGCCACCGAGAGGAAAGCCATGGGAGCCGTCACTGGGGCCTGTGGGAGAGCTCTTCCTTTCCTTTCTTTGTGTCAAACGTCACATGGCCTCCCTACAGCACTGGTGACTCACCTGTCTCACTAACTGACTGCCCACTTGTGCGGTGTCTGGCGAAGGTGTGAAATTTCCCTTCGTGATTGTCAGCTTCTCTAAGAGAATGCTTTACCAGTGCCCTTCAAAAAACCTACTAGGTTTTGGAGACTCCTAGAATCCTTGGAGGGGTGGTAGGGAAGTGTCTGCACTTGGGGACTGAAATGAGCTTGCTCAAATCCCTCATCAAGAAAGGAACTAGAACGGTAAAGATTGGCAGCTTTCACCATGTAAAAATGAATAAATTCTGAATATTAGTAGTGCAAATACACTTGTAAGGATCCTTGCAAAATCTGTTCCTTGATGACCTTGTGACATTTTAAAGTAGCTTGTGATATTAAGCTTAATAGCAAATATTATCCTTATAATCTAATCATTAATCACATTGATCCCAAGATCTTAATCTCATCATAAGCTTTCCCTCTAAAAAAGATTCACTGGGGTAAAAATGAGGTGTGTGTGCTATTATTTTCCAAATGTTGTTTATACCTAGTTAACGCCATTACAACCCACCTAAGTTGTAAGATGAAAGGAAAAGGAGAGAAGAAAGCGATGTCCCCCTGATTTGTCAGACGCTGAGCTGCACCTTGCCAGACTACTTTCATCTGGAAGATAAGAGAACAAATTATTCTCAACGACACTGTGATTCAAGCACTTCTAGCTCCAGAGACTATGTGCTTTGCACAAGACTGGCCTGTCAGTATAGAAAGATGTACCAAAACCATGCGAAAATCCTGGGTTTGGAAACATTCCTTAGGATTCACAACATGGCGTGTGGTTTGATCAAAGAAAATTATGACTGTAGATGAGTGGGCATTGTTGTGATGATGAGGACAGTCTGAATACACAGTGCATTTCCCAATTATTGTATCCATTTTAAACCTCTAGAGAATGAAGACATCAATGGTGTCATGGCAAGATGGAGGATTCTCTTTTACATTAAAGGCTGTGGTGTTTGGGGGTGAAGCTTCATATGTCGGCAATCTCCTCTTCAATGATTTGGCAAAGAAGTGCAAACACATGCACACACACAAGCACACAGAGAGAGGGTGTAGAAGTGGCACAACACTGACCATTGGTGCGTGTAGGTGACAGGATAATAAGGGTGCCAACTCACGCATCTTCTGACTTTCCAAAGGCTGGGTATTGTTTGAAAATAAAAAGTTCATGCATGTGACACCCAATGACCCTTGCCTATCAAACTGGAATCACTCTAGAAAGAGCTCTTGGCCATGTTGGAATTTAGGACACTGTGAAGACAAGCAACCTCTGTGAAGACAAGGCTCTCTGGTAGGCAGCCGTGGTTTGGGCAAGCGGCGGCCACCCCAGGGGGAGAACAACCCAGCATCTCCCAAGATCTGTGCCATGCTGAAATTTAGGGTGCTGGAAAACCAAGCAACCAGCTTGCCTCCCTGGTAAGCAGCCGTGAGCCTACCAGCACTCAGAGCTGAAAATCAAGCATCCCATCCACCCCCACCCTGTTAGCAAATTGGAGCCAGAGGTTTGAGCATGTCTTGGGAGGTTGACCATACACAAGCAAATAGGGTATAGCAAGTAGGAAGGATTTCCTTCTACCATTTCTTTGAAGGCAAATACTGTTATCACTGTTTTGCTTTGTTCTATTTGCTCTATTCAATGTTCTGTTTTGATAAGTTCTATAATGTTCTGTATTTGGTTTGATTTTGTATACCTGATTGAAAGAACAACTATTGTGAAGATAATGAGATATACTATGGTACCTATTACTGTTACCCGGGTATTCTGCTGTAAAGTTCTATAACAATTTTACTGCACTGTGTCAATTAGCTATATTCTGTGTTGTTCTGTTATATTTCACTAGCTTCAAAATTAAATGAAAAAAGAAAAGAGCTCCTCATTTTCATATACTCAGTATTTGAAAACAGTCTGGCTTTGTAGTAGGTGTTCATAATAGCTGATATACTGTGTCACCTTGATAAGTCTAGAAGTTTAACTCAGCAGCTCTGCATCTTGGGGTGTGGAGTGTGAGTCCTTATGACTCTGGGATGTTCACTGTATCAACTTGAGAGGTTTAGGAGTGACTCAGCAGAGACCTGGGATCCTTACTTTGTAAACATCCTCAGCCTGTGCAAGAGGAGGGCACTGAGACAGTGTGGGTGTGAAAGACCCCCCACCCTGGGTGGCGAGCCTGCATACGGTAAAAGGGAGATGAGGAAGGGCTGATCCTCAGTTTTTGAAGGAGCTCCAGGCTTCGCCTTCAGCTTGGACATCATCTCCTGGATTCTGAGGAAGATGATCGGCTTCTCCCTAAGACTCTTCAGCCTTCTGTCCCAGACCTATCAGCCCCCTGATATGGACACTGCAGTGATCTCCAGACCTCGGATTGAATCCTTAGGTCTCCAGTGTGCAGACACCCTCTGCACTCCTCCTCATCTGACTCTGCAGCTGACCAGCACGAGCCAATCTTGTCATTTCTCACACATTTGCAGATCTTGTGCTGTATCTGTTTCTCTAGGAAAACCTGACTGATACAATATTCATCTAGTTTTCATGAATAAAGTAAAAGAGAAATAACATTTTCTCTTATTTCTTTCAACTATCTATTTTTCTTCAATTTGAAATTTGCTTTCATGTTTATGGTAAAAGCAGAAAAAATGCAAGTTGCCATTAAGATTTTGCATATCAGTGTGTTTATATGTGTGTGTGTGTGTGTGTGTATGTGCATGCATGTGTGTGTAACTGCCTCTACCTCCTATCAAATTGGAAGGGATAAGTTTGTCAGGAAAAACATAGGGCATTTAGCTAAACCTAAATGTGAGATAAATAGTGAATCATTTATTTAGCAAAGTTATGTCCCAAATATTTCACAGAGGTCAAATCTTAACGTGCATACTTGTTCTAAAATTTTTAAACTATTATCCAAAATTCAAGTTTAACAAGGAATCCTGTGTTTATATTTGTTAAATATGACAACTCTAAGAAGAGCTCTTCGTTTCCTTAATGTATAGGGCTGGCCCTATCCACCAGGGTAATTTACCCAAAAGAAAATGTTTGGAGTTCTTCTGTGTTACATGCCACAATGGAAATACTCTCACTTGTCTTCTTAATTATAACACATTAGAAGGATTGCTTTTTATTTGTGATAAGACCTGATAAGATAGGCTATACACACAGATCCACATAAAAATCCATGAGGACTATAATGTAGCCTTATATACAGTGTTGGTAGGTAGTATGGTTAGCAATTACACATTTATTGCATACGGAATCATAACATCAATGGCTCTCTTCTCAGAAGCATTCGTGTGTGAAGAGCACGTTTGGGGAGTTAGCAATAGAGTGAATGAATTACAAATGCTAATTATAGAGCTACAAACTCAAAAAGTTCCAAGTAATTCCATCTTCTAGTTTGGTGTGCTGCTTGATCAACGCTCCTGACCTGCAACAACCTTCTGAAAAGAGCAAGGAGAAAGCAGTAAGAGCCCATTAGTGGCAGAAGCAGTTACAGAGACTTAGGAGCTGCACCGCTATCTACGCCGTTACGTGCACACCGCATGCACTGCACCTTCCTGAGTTGAACTTGGAAACTGGGAGCCAGATGCGAGCTGGCAAGGTGACTCCGCACCAGGCTGGCCTTCACTGATGGTAGTAGTAGTCCTGACCTTCATAGCCCTCGTAGCCACGCCCTTTGTAGTAGCTGTACTCATCTTCATAGGCTCTGTAATTGTCCCCACGAGGACCCCCGTTCTCGGCGGCATCATAGACGTCATACCCAGGATCATACTCGTTGCCCCCTGTTTGCTCGTACTCGCCCCCATACTCAGCCGTGGTGGTCTTCCCATAGGGTGGGAGGGTGTTCCCGGGTGGGAGGGTGTTCCCATAGGCCTCGGGTGTCTGGTTTGTGGGTTCAAAGCCAGCATCTGGAGAGGGCGTTGTGTGTGAGCTGCCAGTGGTCTGCCCCACAGTCAGGGTAGCGCCTGCTGTGGTGCCTTCCGCTTCACCCTCTTCTCCGTTGTCTGCGCCGCTGCTGCCGGTGCTGGTCTCTAGCTCCGTGCTGTTGGTGCTCGTGCCATTCACAACTTGTTCATTTCCATCCACTTCTGCTTCGTTTTCCTCATTTTCATTCTCTTCCTCCTCTTCCTCCTCCTCCTCACTTTCCTCATTTTTAGGAGCCTTGCTTCCTGTATCCCCAGCCTGGAAGGAAAGGTTTGAAGGAATTCGAATTTAAGTGTGAAACAGTTGCAGGCACCCAGCAGGGTACCCTGTGCTGACAGCCTTGCTCTGGGGGTCACTGAATGGTGGCCGCCCTAACTTACCCAATGGCTGGCGAGCACTCTGGGGCCTCGGCATGAGCACCTCGGTCCTGTGCTTTGATGCAGGGGTGCCTGATAAACTTCGTCCCATACAGCTATGAGCTATACCTTTGCTACTCTCTCTCTGCCCTGCCATCCCATCCCCTAAGATGCAATGGTCCCCCTAGAATCTGTTGCCCGTTTTTCATTGCCTGTCCTTGGCCTTCTGTTAAAAATGCAAAAAAGTCAGTGCAATGACAGAGGAAGAAAGCTTCTGGGAGGTCTTTCCTTATTTGTATACAGGGCAATGATGCCTGCTCTTGCTTTTTCAATGAGATAATGAAGACAGTATCAAATACCACGTGTATCATGTTGGGATGATCTCGGACTTTCCTAAAGAAAAGAGAACTGACTTCAGCTTTGGGGGCTATTGTTACCTTCTTTGGGAGCCGGATGGCCGCTAACCCTATGTACTCTGTTCCAGCAGTGATTTCCTCTCCATAGCCAGGGGTTGCGGTAGAAAGTGTGGTATTCTCAGCCTCAGATTCTTCTCCTTCATTTCCATTAGAATCCTCATTATTTTCTTCTTCATTTGAAGTCTCCTGGTGAAAATATCCATAGCAAGCAAATTTAATGTAGCTAGAAGATAGCCCTGGATTTATTGAGGCTCTAAATCACTCTTTGGAGAATCTCTGTACCCCTTAGCAGCCTGTTGTCTGTTTGCCATTTGCACTACTCAATTCTAAGAACTTAAAGTTATTTAATCCTATTTGCCACATGAAAATGTGTCTTAGGTTTTTATGCTTTCTGTTGTACCAATTCATCATGATACATTTAGTGGTGACCTTTTTCCTGCTACTGGCATGGCATTCTTGTAAGGTCTTTCTTTAATTTGCATTTCAGACACCTGATACAAAGTCACTTTTCTTGTAGGAAATAGAAAATAGATAGTCTAAAACACGTTCTTAGTAGTGTATTACATTATTGTGTGCAGGCTTTTTTAAAAAATTTATACTCTTCAATGAATATTTATGTTTGTGAAGACTGTGTTAATTTCTCCACGTTCTAATGAAGTTATTTAATTGAGCTAACCTCCAAATGTATCTCATAGCCAATATTAAAAGTTAAGAGTTTGTATATACAGACCTTCCGAGCTTTAAGAGAATATTGGGAACTAGATTCACTTTAAATGATTGTAGGAGATTGTAATGTTAAGACAACTTTAAGATTTCAAGCAAACAAGGAAACAAAACCCAGATTTAACTTGTCTTATTAATACAGAATGACCCAAGAATATTTTTATTTCACTAAAGTTGTAAATTCTTCAGTTTCAGAGTCTTGCTACCACCAGAGCAGCCCCTTAACTGTGTCTAAGCTAATTCTGTCTGTTCCCCACAGATACCATTTATCTGTTTAGGTTTTCATTTTTGGATTTTATTTCTACGGACTAAACCTTTGATGGTACAAGGAGATGTTATCGGCATGCCTACAGTGTTAAGCTCATATTAGCTGGGTCTCATACCCTCATTTCCCAAGCGAGATGGTTTGAGGTCTAGAGGGAGAAATGATTCATGCGTGGTCAGTTAGGTGACAGAGAGAAGCAAATGCTGAGAGAATGCGGGACAACAGGAAGCCTCACACACTGACAGTGGGAATTTACATTTTTCTGTTTGGGAAGCTGTTTGATGGTATCTACTAAGGTGAACACATACACATCCTTTGGCTCAGAAATCTCACTTTTTGGTAACTTGCCTCCATAAGGGAATACAGATGTTCATCAGGAGTTCTGCAATATTCATGGGAACACTTTTTCTAATAGCCTGACCTTGGAAACTACCCAAATGATCATCATGATACATTTAGTGGGTGACCTTTTTCCTGCTACTGGCATGGCATTCTTGTAAGGTCTTTCTTTAAGCTATTAGTGTGAGTAGGATATGAGAAATGGTACTTTAAAAAAAGTCCAAACTAATAATTTGTCACTTTTCCTGTTCCCACAGCATTTCTGTTTTCAAGGTGGCTGACCCTTCTATGTAATTGCTTTTTACTGTCCTTGTCTGTTCATGTTCCACCCAAGAATTCTTGTTCCACCCAAGAATACCTGAATTTAGAAGTTTCCAAGCAAGTGCACAGTTATAATTGACTATCCAGGAAAATGTATGCTGATTAGTATGTTTCCTTAGACAAGAGTGTTAGTTATAAATAAGATAGCACAATTTCCCAGATGTGCAGATTAATTTTAGCCATGGACTGCACTAATGTGCAGAACTATTTAGGAAGATGTGTATCAATTCTGAGTATTTTAATTACCATTAAATGTAAATTTTGTTATTAGACAAAATATCCATAAAATTCTCATTTAAAAGAACAACCTAATTCTGGTCCTTATGACAGGCAGTGGAATCACAGTACCTCTCTAGAGGATGTAAGTTGTTTATTTCAGACTACTTATTTAAGAAACTGAATTTCTAAAGTGTAGTCCTTAAGACAAGTCTTGTGTTGAGTTTAGGGTTATTGTTTAGGGGTTACCTGCCATCATATTCACTTGAGTGTTTTCATCTTTCACCTAAATATAAATACTTCCTGTTGCTTTTCACCAGATTTCAATACGGTTACACTTGAAACAGAGAGATTTTTGTTTTTGTGTACCACTTATAGGTAACTTTAAACCCAAACTGCATAGTGTTTTAAACAGGCTATTTTAGTGGATTCCAGTTTAAATAGCACCCCGCTTGTTCAAAATAGTAGACTGTGGGCAGTGGGTGACGTGGCCCGGGTTACAGTAAACTACTTTTCTATTTGTTTTTAGGCTGCCTGACTTATTTTGTGAAAAGACTGAACATTTCTTACCTCTTCTTCCTCCTCTTCTTCTGAATTATCACCATTTCCATTTTCTTCGGAAGAGTCACTGCTGCTCTAAATAAATTATATTTATGACATGTATTTTACATGTATATGAAATATACAGTCAACATCAACTGAAATCTGCTATTTGAAATAAGGTAAAATAAAAATACCCAAACTGATTAATACCATCAGTTTGAATGTTTTATTTACTGAGGACAGTCTCTTGCTAACCCAAGGAATGTGTTTGGTGCATATGAGATGGAGAGTACCCCACTTTCAACCCCACAACACTGACAATATGCTGAGACACATTGTATGTAAAAACTAGAGTAAAAATCATGGGATTTTTCAAATATGAAAGAATGAAGGAGTCCTCAGAGAAGCTCAAATTGTGATTTTTTTCCACAACCAGTCCAAGATAGATCTCAGACTAAAGCATAGATTTCATTGGTTCAGTTCCTTTATAAAACATAAATGAAATGATGATTCAGCTCACTATCAAGTATGAATTGTTTCATTTAAATAATGATCATTATTCATAAGGATCTCTGTGTAAATGTAAATCATAATGTTATAAAAAATAAAGTTGCATATGTAATAGCTTTCCACCTAATAAAACTCTAAAAAAAATAAGACTCCTTTATATGTATGAGTAAGTATATAATAGAAAAATTCAGGAGATCCACAGTATTAAATGAAAAAAAGGTAAACCAAGGAATCTGTAGGTAAAAATGTAATTTTAAGTTAATGAGTTTTGCATTTGTTTCAGCAGAGATCCAACTCAGGGACTCATGAACACCAGGCCAGAGCTATCTGTCACTGAGCCACACTCCTGACCCAAGCTTTACTACTTTTTAAAAAGGAAATGTAAATGTAAATATCCATTGTTAGCCTTCAAGACGGTAGAGGAGATTCTTTATCTTTCTACCAAAGGCAACCCAAGTTGAATTTGCAATTTTCCAGTCTTTTCTGGAGCCACCACTAAGGGTACCAGGCTCAGCTTTAGATTCTTTCATTTTCTGCCCAGCACAGCTTAGCTTTGGCTTGGGATGGCTCTGCCACGGTCCCTTGTGGGGAAAATACGGCCGTAGAAGACTTAGGTTAGGCTCTGGGTAGGAGTCAGACAGGAGAACCATGCATGTCCTCCTCCTCCTAGGGCCACCCCTGCCAGTGTCATCCTCCCGGGAAAGGGAGCCAAGAATAACTTTAGGGGGAAAGAGAATAATCAGGTCCCCCTTCCAGGCCAAGGTCTGCACAGCCCAGGGCAGGCAGAAGCAGATGGTTGTATTTGAGCTGCTTCCACTTGTTAGTTGAGTTAAACAGAGAGCAGTACATGTACACAGCCAAAGCTGTTTTTCTCAGCGAGAGTGTCTGGCCCTTCCCCATCCCTCCTCCCCTCTGGCTCTCTCTCAGCTGAACCACACCACCCTTCAGTCTGGGAGAATGGCTTCAAGGCTGTGTACAATGACTTGAAACACTGGCTTTTCCTCTTTTTGTCCCTTCCTTTCATCTAGACCCTAGCACCTAAATGATCCTCTGATTCCTCCTAGAAGACGGGTAAGCTCTCAGAGACTACAGCCCATATGACATGTTTCAGGAAGGTTGGTATTTCAGAAATGATTGTATATTAACACAGATGTGCCTGAGTAATACATGAATTTCAAAGCCAAAACCACTTAATGCATTTGAGGATGACAATTTTGGGCACTAAGGATCCAATGTAATATATTTAAGGGCCATCAAACTTGTTAAGTAGGTCATAAATACTAGGTTGACAGTTGGATCAGGAGATATGCTTTTTATTTTTAAGCAAATATCTTACAAATTACACATTAGTTGGGACAGATGTACTACTTATAATCTGTAAAAATTTTGTATGTTAAGGTTTATGACTTTTGGATCTGTCAATAATGAAAATTGAACTTCTCCCAACATCATTTTACCATGAACATTTTAGTTGGACCACACATACATATCCATAAAATATCTAGGTGAGAATCTAGATGTGTGTATCTAAGTAACAGATACTTCAGAAAAGTTAAGGAGCTGGTCAGAAACTTGAGTTTACCATTATTGTTTTTTTTTTTTTTTTAAGTTTAAAAAAGGGAACACAGTTCCAAATGAGCAGTTTATTTCTGGGCCTGAGGTGAACCAAGAAATGGAAGACAGTTCTCAAAACCCACAACTCTTGTATCATTTATGCTCATATTTCTGTGGCCACACAAGCTCCCCATAATTATGATGGTGCTAGAAATACTTTAAAATGGTCTTTTTCCTACCATTGTGTGAGTTAGCGAGCTCGGTCTGACACATGGCAAGATGCAGTGCCAAGCTATTGTGTTGGTGCAGCAAGTTGAGCATCTCAGCTGCTTTTAAGGTCCCAGCAATCCTGGGTCCAAGGGTGCAAGACTGAGCGCTGCTTGGAATCTAATACAGGAGTGGCCTCTGGTTTGTTGTATACCACACCCTCCAGTTTTCAAAGGTCCCCTTCAGAGGTAACCTAGCAAAAATGGAAACTCTTATTTTTAGTGCCACTATTTTCCTTTTCGCTTACAAATTTTAGGAATGTTCTGGTTTTCTCAGAGGCTGGTTAGTACACTCCATGAATTTCTCTCTTTCTCTGTAGTTTTTGAGTCATGTGTACATTACAGCTCTGCTGCAGTGTGTGACATACGGTTCTCGTCACTGCACAGGCTAAAATGGCATCAAGCTGGTTTTTTTAAGGTCACTGCTGTTTGTAAAGTCGGTTTTTCCTTGTACCTATTAGAGAACCGAATTGTCAGATGAACGAGCTGTGTGAGACTAGCGATAGAACTGTCACGTGACAATGAACTTCGCACAGGCTTGATGGTGAATGGCTGGGAAACAATTTGTTTCATCAGTTAACTAGAACACCTGAACTCATGTGCCAAGCTGCTTGATTTGGTTATATCATCCTGAGTTGGGCCTAAATCACTTATGTGTATGTATCTCTGCTCGATAAAACACTTAGAAATTTACTTATGTGCAAAAACATCTTCCTGCAAGTGAGCAGTCTTTCTGGGTGAGTTCATTGGGAATTGAATTTTAGTACTTTGATGTTAAATTTGATCCCTTTAAGTTGTGACAGGTGAAAAGGAAAATTAATTTTATACTCACCGGGAATGCAAATCGCTTTAGAGGAGGGTAAAAATAGCCATGCTTATAAAGATAATATCGTGGCCTGTACTTAAAGACCTGCACAAACAAAATAAATGTTATATTCATTTTTGAGGCTCAATAAATCCAAAGCAAGTCTAGGCCAAGGAAGAATGGTACAGTTAGTTACCCCATTTTCTTCAGAATCTTCTAACTTGACTCTTCTATGCAAATTTTTCATCTGTTTGAAAGACAATTTAATTATTACACATACTCTTTTTGACACAAACATGCTACCTTGGAAAAGGTTGTCTCAGAACTCACTGAGAATGCACCAGCCATCGCCAAGATGCTGAGCAGAATTATTGCAGTCTTCATCTTGGTGATGATTTCTGAAATTAATGAGGCAGGAAGGTTAATAAAGAGTAAAACTGAGTGCCTGGTTTTTTGCTCCTATCTACAGACAAAGTATTTCATTTGTTGTCACTTCTGCCTAATTAACATTTGGGCTGATTAGAACCAAGTTTCTTGGCGGGGGATGTAGTCCAGTGGTAGAGCACTTGCCAAGCACCATTGATGCCCTGGATTCACTTTCCAGCACAAAATCAAAACAAGCAACACACACGCACAACCATTTTATATGTTTGTTTTCAAATTATAGTTCTCATTTGAGCTGTAGAGGGCTGACTTTATCCATCTGTGTTCTGCTGAGTTTTGTGTTTGCTTTTAGCCCATGTGGCTGTGATTTGTCACTGCAAAGCCATTTCCTCACTGTCAGGAGCTTAGGAGCCTCACCGCTCCCACACTGGGTGCGGAGCCTCTTAGCGCTACTGACATGGCAGATCACCTCCTTGGAGTGAGCTGGGAGTGGCTAGGTGTGCTGTTCGCTCATGGTTAAAAACTAGGCAAAACCTGAGTACGCAGGGTTGAATGACTGCTCTTGTGTAATGACCCACAAGCAGCTACACTCTCGGTGCACAGGTTCTGCAGTAAAAGTCCACTTGTGAAATAGCGGGTAGGATCATTTTTCCGTGAATATCTTGGAATACCTCTTCTGTGTGTAATGTGCATGTGTGTGTGTGTGTGTGCGTGTGTGTGTGCCCATATGTGTGCGGGGGCAAGGCATGACACACAGAGTACCGTTCTCGTGTCTTTTAACTCCCAATAGCCATGCCTCAGGATGCTTCCATGAGAAAAGTTCCTCAGAGTCTCCTCTTGGGAAGGCAGAGGTGACTTCCCTCAAATCAAACTGGTCTCCACCTCTATTTAGGTATTTTATCTGCTAGTGAGAGACTCTAATAGGGTGGATCAGAGATTCCCCTGGGGTGCAGGCCAGGAGTGGAGGCTGCAATCCTATGGCCTGGCTGATGCAACTCCTGGAGTGGGAATAATTTCTAACTTCCCCAAGCTTGGCAGCCACAGAAAGAACATTGCTCCCTCACAGGATCCTCATGAGGAAGAGGGCAGAGTGAAAACCGACCCTATTTCAATTTTATTAAAAATAAGTCAAGCTTAAATTAATTCTGTTAATTAAAAATTCTCTCATCTAGAGGTTAACAACCTTAGCAGAAAGCCTACTCACATCTGCTTACCTGCATTTACATACTTCCAACTGACAGAGCTGTCTCGAACCTAGTGGCAGTTATGGCAACATTTTGATGGCGATGGGCAGTGATGATGGCAATTTCCTCATAAACACACTTCCAGGAAAAAACATCTAAAGTGTGCAAAGCCCATGCCGCACATTGTACACTGCAGGTAGATTTGGGAGATGGTCCTCATCACTCGAGATCTGTGACATCCACATATAGGGTATCTGATCCTGACAGACACACAGGGCAAAGCAGGGCGCCTGGCTCCCACATCACACTCCATCCATGCGGCAGAGCGGGTCCTCTGCTGCTGGTACCTGCTCACTTCCCCACGGCCCTTGGCCCTCTCCGCTTCCTGTTAGAGAAGCTCACAGGTGTGGGGGGGGCTTTGAGCCATGCTTTGATTTTTGCAGTCTATAGTAGAGCCCAACATCAAACACAAAGATCACTGCTGTTTGGCACCATGAAGATGCCTGGGAGATTTACAATATTTTACAAAACTAAAACCTTAAACACAGAGAACACTGGAAAGAGCTAATGATTGTGTAAATTTCTCATGAAAGTCAGAAAATAACCAGATGGAAACATGGCAGTGTTAATATTTTTAGAAGAGCCAAATAGAGAAATTGCCTGCCCCATAAATCTTGTTTTATTTACTTAGTGATTCATCAAAAAGCAAGCACCTCTGTAGTGACCACTGCTAACTCAGACATTCTTGAAGGACTGTTTTGAGAATCTGATTACAAGTTTTTGTTGGGAAGCATATGATAAGCTGCCAAAATAACTTATTTCTTCAACACTAGATATTTTTCATAATGCTTCTCGAGCCCCAGCGTATTAATACTATGAAACTTTATGTACAATATCTTACATATATCTGAAGTACAGACTGCATATAGTTTATAGAGAAATGCACATGGAACCAGGCAAATTTATAAATACAAAATAATATTTCAGTCAGTTTATCTTGAGTGCATCATAGTGAGAAAACAGCGTTCTGTCATGAGCAGAAATAGAACACAAGAAGCATCATTTTTGAGTTTGTGTTCATAATATCAAGAGCTTATTTGCATACTTAGGTTAATAAACTAAGCCTTTTGAAAAGAATCTAAAATCGGAGGGACTAGTTTATTAAGGGCAAGCAAATGAGAAGTCACACAGCTATTCTACACATCGCAGTGAGATTCACATTTAAATACAAACTCAAAGCCAAGACAGAGATGTGCGTGAGCTTGCCTGCCCTAAGGTCTGAAGCTGCAGATTGCACCTTACCCTGTGGCAGTCCCGGAGCGAGCAGAGAGCAGACGGGCCAGCAGTGAGGGACACAGATTGAATGCTTCCTCCGCCCCCTCACTCCTTCACTTGTCCCTGCCGCTATTAAACCTTTCTTTGCCTTTCAGCGGCCAATCACTGTCACGGCCAAGGTGATGTCAGAGTGTGGGTTCTCACCAGCATCCCCCCAGCTTCAACACTTTTTCAAGACACAGGCTCAGTTGAGTAAACATGAAACGCAGTACCACTGCCAAGAGGGTTGTGTTGTGGAATTTAATTGAAGGTTTAGATGAAGATGAATAGTTTGAATTCCAAATATATATAGTAATATACTGGATTTGAATTAAAATAAATAGCAAAAGATTTAACCATTTAAAAATTTCATAGTTACAGAAGTTTTCATGATGTTGAAAGAAAGGAAAACTTGCTATCATCAGATACAACCCAGCATCAGTGAAAGAAGCAAAACAAGATGCTAAATAACAAAGGAAGGGAGTTCAACAAGAAGTGTTTAAATATCAATTATTTTGTTTTTATTGCTGAAATATGCTTCAGTGACTCAAGTTAACATTGATGTGGTTAAATTAGTCAGACTTTAAGAGATATATATTTACTGAAATGCGAGCCTGTTAAAGGTCTTTCGAAAGTCTTTTGAGGATTCAGCTACAGACAAGTAGATTTAGGTTTTCTAAAATAATTTTTTTACATCTTGCAATTATGTGGCGTCTTTCTGATATGCAAATGAGGTCACTTCATCTATTTTGGGGGTTTCTGTATAGCTCTTGCTATTTATTTGCATGTATATTTTTTTCTGTGAGTGTAGAAAAATTATTAAAGCTGGCAGTAGTAAACCATTGCTACTGAAACTATTCATAAAAAACAAACCCTAATAAAAGGATTTGTGGATGAAAGTATTAATTTTTTAATTTGCAAAGGAAAAGCTAGCTGGCGTGTAGTTTACATATTTTTCTGGTCCTGTGACTTTATTCTTCCTCTGATTGTAAGGTCTACTTCATAATGATTAGAGAAATGAAACTTAATAAATAATTGTTGTGTGCCAATCACCTGTGAGAGTTTTTGGATGACTTTTCCAAAAAAAAGTGTGTTTCATCAAAGTTGTTTAGAAAAATGGAAATATAAAATATCTGTTGGATGGCTCTTTTAATTTATCCCTGTAAATTTAGTTCAAGATACTTATCCTTGAATTACAGAGTAGATGGCGTTATAGGATAGCATAAGAAGAAACAAGAACACATTTTAAAGAAGACTTGGTTCTCGTCTTTAAGACCTCCATAGCTTTGCAGGGAAAAAAACCATATAGCAATAGGGTACAACAACCAAGATATCGACAATATTCAGAAGTGCTGTAAAATACAGAGGGTCAACTGAGACAAAACGCAACAGGGCAGGATCTTGACAGAGAGTGGAGAGCGTCTGAGTTACAAGAGGAAAGAGGGTGCTAAGAAGGAAGAAGCAGCAGACTTAAGAAAGGACTCAAAGGATGCGAAAATGTATGAAACCACTTACACTGGCATCTTATATTGCGGCGCGTATGCTAGTTCTCCACTTACACTGTTTCACTCATTGCACACACACGCACAAACACAGAAAAACAAAACAAATCTGAGATTATTCCATTATACAGGCGAGATAAGAGACATGGTAATGGTTTGTGTGCCCTTGCGTCCTGGGTTGCACAGCTAATAAATGGACTAATCAAAGAAATCAAAGTCAAGTCTAATTCTAACACACACTCACCTCCTGTCTTCTCTAGCACATTGAGAAAACTTTAAGAATTCAGTAAACTGGAATACAAACTGCAGAGGCAGTGACAAATGAGAGGACACGGAGACCCATGGGTCCCACAAAGGACCAGGATCCTGTCATTGAAATCGAGAAAACAGAAAGCTTAAAGCAGAAAAATAACACTCAGACTTGCAACTTAGGGAAATTATTTACTGATGATGCAGAAGCTGAGTGGAAATAGCAAGATCATTGTGGAGGAAGAGACTTGAAAAACCTATCCTAGTGCGTGAAGGTAGCCATGACAAATTCTGAATTCTGGTAATCGTAGTGGACTTGCAGAGGAGGAAACATGAGCAAGATACTATCAGAACCCAAAAGTAATAATGGATTTCCAGCACAGGTCATTTTGTGAGTTACACAGTGGTTCATAGCCTACCCACTGGGTTACAGTCATTTGGCAAGCATTTGTTGACAATGACGTAATGATATAATGAAAGAGGTAGAGGCTGAGGATCAAAAGATGGAGTTTTATTCTTGACTTTCCCACTAACTTAATTTTCTTAACTACTTTGAGGTTTTGCTTTAACTAATCTTTTAATCCCTGAGGATGTTTACACCAAAATAAAATTCTAAGAAGACCTGTGCTGTGTGTCTCCCTCTACCCAGAGATCCTGCTGGCCAATAATTGAACACGAATAATCAGATCTCTTTTTCTACCAGGTTAAAGGAAAGACAGGTACAGAAGAATAATATAGTGACCCGTCAGGATGTAACCAGCAAAATCCAGAATGCAGGAAACTTTATTACATTCATTACCTGGCTTCTTCAATAAAAAGAAAGAGAAATTATGCATTTAAATAAACTTCAGAGACAAATATAAAGAAAATGGCAAGCAACTGAAGAAATGTAGTACTTACAGTTCATTTTTTAAGGTGTGATGATATTTTTGTTATTTTAAAAAATTAATTGTTTTCATTTGGACAGGAAATAGTTTCTGTGGTAGGCATAATAATAAAACTGTTTAATCATAAATTGATAGTAGTTGCGCTCCTGATATTTGTTGAATTGATCAGGATGCATAGTACTTTGCTCTACCGTCATGTACTTTCACACAATCTATAAACAGATTTTTAAGGAAGTGATTAAATAAGGAGATCGCTACAGCGTTTTCAATTTCTAATATTCTGTGACTCTACATTTCTAATACCTTATTAGATACTTTCCAGTAATCTTCTAGATACTAAATTGATTTGACTTATTCCATTATTTTCCTTGGCATATTCTGTCTAAATAGTGCTAGAGAAAATTAAAATCTGAGACCTAACTTTCTTTTGTAACTGGGATTTCCCAACAAGACTGTTATACTGTTCATCATCTCTGTATCCTCCTTCATTTCCATTCTTATGAATCGATTTTTTTTGATGGTGTAGGAACTTAACGTTTGTGTCATTGGTCTACAATGGCAAGCTCCCCTATGAGATGCTTCATTTATGGGAAAACACCTCGCTCACCACGGGGCACCTTATTTTTAAGCTTAGCATGTCATTAGCACTGCCTCTGTTTCTTAGCACGCCAACCTTCTCCCTTCTCTCTTCTCACTTTTGTGTTTGGTCAGCTCTTAACCGCTGCTTTCCAGGATATCATAGTGCCAATCTAATCCCAAACACTTGGCTTATTTCCTATCCCCATTCATTCTATGACAGAATTTGGAATTCAATATCAGTGTGCAGTCTTGGTGGTATTTGTGCCTATTCTTATTTATTTTCTTTTACTATGGTAAGAACACTTAGTGTGAGATCTACCTTCTTAAGTCTCACAAAACATTGTTAATTGTATGTGCACTGATACACAGCCGGTCTCTAGCACGTACTCATTTTGTATGGCTGAAACTTCATCTCTGTTTATTGGGAACCCTCTATTTCTCACTCCTCCTGGCTCCTCATGACCACCATTCCACTCTAATTCCCAAGTTTAACTATTTCTCAAATTTTCTGTTAGTGGAACCACACAATATTCATTCTTCTGTAACTGCCTTTAGAATTATGCCTTTAGCATAATGTCCCTCCAGTTTGAGGAATTCCCTTGTTTTAAAGGCAGAATGCTATTCCATTGTATGTATATATCACATTTTTTATCCATTCATCAGTAAGTAGACATTTAATTTCCACATGTGGCTCCTCTGAATGGAGCTGCAATGAGCCCGAGTCCTATCCTCTCCTCAAGACACTAGTTTCCATTCCTCTGGACAAATAGACAGACACAGGATTGCTGGGTCTATGAATCCTAAGTAGGACTGTAGCTCTATTTTTAATTTTTCCAGAAAGTTCATACTATTTTCCCAATGAAGGAAAGGGCTCCGATTTCTGCATGTCCTCACCAACACTTGTTCGCTTTCGTTTGTTTCCTGGCAGATGTGAGGTGCTATCTTGTCATCTTAGTTTGCATTTTCCTGATAATTTTCATATATTTGTTAGTTATTTGTATGTCCTTTGGACAAATACCTACTTGTGCCTTTCTTTAACCCATTTCTTAATTGAACTAATAGTTTCGTTTGTTTGTTTGTTTGCTTGGGATTTTTTTGGTTTTGTTTCTTTTTCTGTTGATTTGTAGGAGTTCCTTCAAGATTTTGGAAAATAATTCCTTATATGGTTTGCAGCTATTTTCTCCCACTCTAGAAGGTGTCTTCTTGCTAGCTTTTGATTTGGACCAAATGCTCTAGATCAAAGAATCTCTAGTTCCTCTCTCCCTTTCAAATCTCATCTATTCCTTCTTGCCTGCTAGCATAGGTTTAAAGATGCTTTGCATAAGATTTAGGAGTATCCAAGGCTCAAAAGGTTAATATATACTTTAAAATATTTTTCATGTACAGTTTTACAACTCTTATTAAAAGCTTAATGTTGGGGCTGGGTATTTAGCTCAGTGGCATAAGCGCCTGTCTTGCAAGCAGGCAGTCGTGAGTTCGATCCCCGGTACCCATAAAAAGGAAAAAGACAAAAAAAAAAAAAGAAGAAGAAGAAGAAGAAGAAGAAGAAGAAGAAGACCAGAAAAGCTTAAATGTTCTAAAATAAATGATAGATATTTCCCTTTCATCATGAAAATGCTATCACCTCAACAGTGCCAGTATTATTGTTAAAATGTCTCTCATAACTTCCATATCCAGCTCATTCTCTCTAAAACCAAGACGTAGGTGAGTATTGAGACCCGCCTGACCTGTGCGGTACCACTCACTGTTCCTTCGCCATCTCCCTCCGTAAGCGTCAATGCACCGACATTTGACTCTTTTCCAGGCAATCTGACGGCTTACGCCCCTTCAGCTCTCTTCAGCTCTTTCCAGCGTGTGTTCTACCCTCCACTCAGACTCCCTTACCCAACCTTTACCTGGC